TTCCTGCTCAGTCTACTTCTCCCTCTCCCTTTGCCCCTCCCCCCCACTTGTGCTCTCTCTCACCTCTCTGTCAAATAAAAAAATTTAAAATAAAAAATAAAAATATTCAGAATATATACCAAAACACAAGCTTAATTACAACAGCTCAAATGATCCAAATAACACCAAGGAAAATAATTTTTAATTAAACAAACATCTACATTGAATTTAATTATATATAGCTCTAAGTATCAAAAATGGCTGTGAACTGCACCTTAAAGTTGAATATGTTTGTCAGTGTATTAGCCAGCATTTGAAATTACTTACTCTCATCTCATTAGGATATTAGGCTTTTTAATAAGTGCCTAGCGCTTATTTACTTGGGAAAATATTCTAGCTGAATCTCTTCAATGTCTAAAAGAAAATAATATGGTGATCAAAGAAACTTTCACAGTTGAGTTTTAAACATGAATCTATGACATTAGATCTAAGCAGACAGGAAATCTGTCTTCTATTTTACCCTCTAAGATGCAAGGTGTTTAGTCACTATGAATTCATATAGCATGAGACCCAACAAGGCAAAGCTTTTCTAAGCAGATGTCTATGCTTAAAGCAGGATGTGATGGGCTCTTCATAAAAGGGATCTTTTCTCCTACTGAGTGTTCGCAGCTTTAGTTTCTATACCACTGGCCTCTGCTCATTTTGCTTTCTCTCAGAGCAACACCTCCTGTGCGCCCCTGGCATGAACAGCAGACCTCCCTACCAGTCAGAAGTTACTCAACCATGGCAACATTCAGGCCTCCTGATTTGAAACTTTACTCTCTTCCCTCACTATACTTTTGTTTCTCCTCCTTGGGATGCAGTTTCCCATTCAACTATCAGGTAACACCTTTCCTAATGGAACCCAGCAGCCCAGGCTGCCCACCCCTACAATGCTGGCACAGCTTTTCACTAAGTCTACGTCACAGTCAAGTCAACCAATGACAAAAGTGTGTAAGATAAAAGCAGGAGGAAAAGTGCAACTTGTTTCTGCTTAGGATGTAGAAGGCTGGAAAGAACAATGCTCCAACACTTACACCACCACCACCACCACCAAAATGATGCAAGTTAATCTGAAAAACAACAACTTTTCTGGAACCCATGAGGGTTAACAGGACAACCAACTAACCTGAAATCTAAGGATAGACCAGTGTCTTCAAGAAAAGATGGGGCTGGAGCACTTGCTTACCTGGGAAAAATGCCAGCCATGATACAAGCCAGGTAAGAATTCAGCTAACATTTTTAACGAACTGCTAAAGGCCAAATGTGAACTAATTCAAAAGTACAGAACCCCTGGGAAGCATGGACACAAGAAGAATTCAGTCACTCACGGGCTCTTCTCCACAGACCTCTGGGAATCATGAGAAAGACTGGGATAGTAAAGATAAGAAACTCCAAAACAGCCTCTCTCAGAGTACAGCCCTGGGGGAAGCAAACAGCCGCCACTACTGCAGTGGCATGAAGCTGAAGGATGGCCCAGATTCTTCAACTCTGTCTCCTCCAGAGAATAAAAACCTTCATGTCCTGAGGGAAAAGCAGCAAACCCAGATGACCTTAGAGCACAAATACAGCCCCACTGTTGCTAGAGGGAAGGAAAAGAAAAGCCCTCTATCCTAGTAGAGACAAGAATATATGATGAGCCCAGGCTACCACAGGCCTCCTAAACCTGGGATAGAGGGCCCTATTCCCTAGACCCAGCATCACAAAGCCTGCCTAAGACTGAGGTTGACTCAGAACAACAGAAAATGCCCCTCTGACAAACAATGAATAACAAGGAACAGCAGTCTTTTGCTAATGGAGAGTCAATAGTGGAAAAAGATCTTTTCTGAGGCAAGGTGCAAAGGAAAGACCTATAGTTGAGGGTGGGATAAACATTGGAAAAAAAAAAACAAAACAGTCTCTGGCAAGTTAGCACCATCTTCAACATAAGTAGCTCTAGAGGAATCTGAAGCCTGTGGTGCACTGAAGAAAATAACAGCAACAGCAAAAGCCCAAGTCAATTCAACTCCTGGCTCGGCTAATTCTCCTGCTCTACTAAAAGCCTAGCAAAAACCAAGGTGGGCCCATGTGTAGGCGCAATACTATTTACCTCAGTCTTTGCTATCCTAAACAAGATGTCCAACATGCAAAAACCAAGAAAACAACCCACTGTCAGGAAACAAAGGAAACGATATAACTAGAGTAAGACAGACCCAGAGAGCGGAAGTATCAGGTAGGGAATTTAAGATAATGTAACACATGCTAAAGGTTCTCACGGAAAAACTGCAAGACAACATGCAAAAACAGATGGGGAATTTCAGCAGAGATAGAAACTATAAGGAAGAATCAAACAGAAATGTTACAAACCAGGAATGCAAGCTGGTGCAGGCACTCTGGAGAACAGTATGGAGGTTCCTCAAAAAAGTTGAAAATAGAGCTACCCTACGACCCAGCAACTGCACTACTGGTTATTTACCCCAAAGATACAAATGTAGTAATCCAAAGAGGCACCTGCACCCCAATGTTTATAGCTGCAATGTCCACAATAGCGAAACTATGGAAAGAGCCCAGATGCCCATCAACAGATGAATGGATAAAGAAGATGTGGTAGATATATACAATGGAATATTATGCAGCCATCAAAAAAATGAAATCTTGCCATTTGCAACAACGTGATGGAACTAGAGGGGATTATGCTAAGCAAAATAAGTCAATCAGAGAAAGGCAATCATCATATGATCTCACTGATATGTGGAATTTAAGTAACAAGGAAGAAGATCATAACGGAAGAGAGGAAAAAATGAAGACAAAACCAGAGAGGAAGACAAACCGTAAGAGACTCCTAATCATAGGAAACAAACTGAGGGTTGCTGGAGTGGAGGCGGGTCAGGGGATGAGGAGGCTGGGTGATGGACACTGGGGTGGCTATGTGCTGTGGTGAGCGCTGGGTGTTGTGTAAGACTGATGAATCACAGACCTGTCCCCTTGAAACAAATAATACATTATATGTTAATTTAAAAAAATAAAAAATTAGGGAAAAAAAGAAATATTACAAACCAAAAACATGGTAACATAGATGAAGTAAGTTTACAACAAACAGGTCATTAACAAACTCAATAAAGACAAAGAAACAAATGGTAAACTTCAAAATGGATCAAAACTAAATGGACCAAACTAAAACACAAAGAGATAACACTTAAAAAATAAATAAAACAGAACACCAACCCAGAATGGTGAAAAATTTTCAAACAGTCTAACATATATACAATTGGAATTCTAGAAGAAATATAAAAAGAAAATGGGGCAAAGAAAATATCTGAAAATATCCAAAATTGATGGCAGGCATCAAACCAGAGATCCAACAAATGCAGAGAACATCAAAGAGAACAAATACCAAATAAAATACATATATACATTATATAATAAAAATGCTGAAAACCCAGAAATAAAGTGAAAATCTTAAAGGTGGCCAACAGGGAAAAAAGATATATGGCACACAGCAGACCAAGGATACAAATAATAGAACTCTCCTCAGAAGCTATAGGAATGACAAGTCAATGGTGTGATATACTTAATGTGCTAAAAGAAATAATGAAACAAAATTCCATACCCACTGAAAATATCTTTTGAAACCATAATAGAAACAATAGGTTTTTTTCAGGAAAACAAAAGCTAAAAAAATTCAATGCCAACAGACCTGCACTGCAAGATATGTTAAAGAAAATCCTTCAGGCAGAAGGAATATATCAAACAAAAAGATGAATCTCCAAAAAGAAATGAATAATACCATAAGTGGCATAAAGAAAGATGAAATTCATTTTTTTATTATTTTAATTGCTGTAAATAAACTATCAATGGCAAAAACAGTAGCCATCTATTGTGTGTTTACAGAATAGTAAAAGTAAAATGTATGACAATAATGGGAAGTACTGGATATATACTGTTTTAAGTAATTTCTACTACATATTAAGTGGCATATTATTTGAAGATAACAGTACACTAATTAAAGATGTATACTGTAAACTTATGGCATGCGCACACACAAAAAATTAATAAGGGATATAAACCATAATGGAAATAAAATGTAATCATAAAAAATAATCCAAAAGAAGGCAAAAAAAAGAACCAAAAAGTACATAAAATCTAGCAAGATGATAGATTTAATCCACCTGTATCAATAATTAAATATAAATGGTCTTACAAAACACTGTAAAGGACAGATTGTCAGAATAGATATGAAAGCAAGACCTAAGGATACTCTTAAGAAATCCACTTTAAATATAAAGAAATAGATAGGAAAACAGATGATAGGTAAATAGGTAATATGGAAAAAGATACAACATGCAAACACTAGTCAAAAGAAAGCTGAACTAACTATACTAATGTCAAGCAAGGTACACTTCAGAACCAGATACAGTATCAAGGATTAAAAAAAAAAAAACTTTTAACAGGGGTGGCAGGAAAAATATGACAGAACTGTTTAAATTTGTATTCCATCTGGGACTTCTTTCTGATCTACAATAAGATGTATTTTTACACAAGACAAATGAAGAGAATAACGTCAATAGATAGATAACTTTTTTCATGGATCAAAACCAAACCAGATACTAAAAATAATTATGACATATCACACAAAATAGACTCCAACTTCAAAATGTCCAGGATTTCCTAGTATTAGCTAAATGTCCTCTTGGTAATGCAATACTTTTTTTTTTTTAAATAAAAAGGTCTACTTACTCAAAGTTTATAAAGAGTGATACAAATGAAAACAAGAAAGAATTGTGGTCTTTGACAAAGAATCATAATTTATTCCACAAGTATCTGAATGTCAGTGACATACTCATCATTGCTCAGGCACTGACTCATCACTGCATAAGCACAGCTTAGTATCCAACGATGAGCAAACAAAATACCAGCAAAATGCTTTTTATTTTATTTTTTTTTTTTGCAAAATGCTATTTTTAAAGATACAACACATTTCTGCTTTTTTATAGTGTATTTACCTCAAAGCCAAGTCTATCCTTTTCTTTCCAAAAACAAAAATGTGTGACTTTCTTATCCCAGAATTCATCAGGCTTCACTACACAAACAAGGGACACCTCAGCTGGAACAACATTCTATAAAATACAAAAAAAAAATTATAAATTATACGTGTAAAATGAACAATTTCTTAAAGTTATAAATTACTAGGTTTCATGGTTGGGCTGAGAATTAAGAGACCTTTGGAAAAGAATTAAAATAATAAGAAATACTCCAAACTTCAAAACCATACATGGCAATAAAGAAATACTTGGAAAGACAAGTTGATTCAGTAAAGATTTCAAATATACAATGTAATATATGCAGTACATGTGAATTATTTTTGTGTTTTACTGAATCTCTCTAATAGGGACATATTCAGATTAAACTACAAGACAATTTTTAATTGGCCAACTATTACATTTGGTTTTTCTACTATATGAAAAAAATTTTTTCTAACACAATCATCTTGGAGAATTTCTTCAAATAATGTAAAATCAATTTTCTCACAAAATAAATTTCTTACTGGCCATTATACAAAGAAGCCCTGATTCTGCTTGGTTATTAACTTGAAGAAAAGGACAAGCTTATCTCTGACAAATACAATTTCACATTTACTAGATATGGTTATTCATATTACCTAAAGAAGAATGGAAGTTAACATTTACTGAGTTAATAAAATATTCCATGTATATTTTACCAGCAAACCCCATACAGTCTATCTTTAAATTAGATCTTAAATCTATCCATTTCTACCACCCACATTGCTAACATCCCCAAACTAGTCAGCTTTTTAAAATATCCTCTTAACAGGCCTCCCTTCTTTCTTCACATTTTCTCATGCTCACAGCAAAATTCAAACTCCTTACCAAGGCCTAGAAAGCCCTCCAAGCTCAGGCCCCCACTGACCCTCAGACCTCACCTCACACCCCTCCCCTCTCAGCTCACTCCCCTACCACAGCCATACTAAGCTTCAAGCTGTTCCTGGACTATAATAAGTCTGTTTCCACCTGAGGCTTATGCCCTTGATGTTTCCTCTGTGGGGAGTGTTTGTTGCCCTATACACCTAGGAAGAATGCTCCCTCCATTAAGATTCTACTCAAACATTCCCTTTTTAGAGAGAACGTCCCTGACTACCCTATCTAAAGTAGCACCATCTGACTCAATCTCCTTTTACTACTGTATTTTTCTTCATAACATTTATCACTATCTGTTGTTACATTATTTAGTAATTTGCCTAGTTACTGTCTGACTCCTTAAGTAGAACATTAGCTTCCCAATGGCAATTACCTTATCTATCATGTCACTCCTATATCTCCAGCCTATGACAGTGCCTGGCATATAGAAAACACTCCATAAATAACTGTTGAATAAATGAATTCACATTAACAAGTAGATCTCATTCTCCCAATTTTATAGAAAAGCAAACCAAGTTTCAAAGAACTAAAGAAACTTGTCCAATATAACAGAGTTGTTAACTGATGGTGCTAAAACAGAAACCAGGTCTGACTCTGAAGTTCTACCACACCATTTTAAACGTTCTACACCAGGAATAAGTGAATTCTTTCTGAAGGTGTAGATAATAAATATTAGGCTTTGCAGGATATGCAGTCTCTACCGCAACTACTTCAAGTCTGTCATTGCAGTATGAAAGCAGCTATAAAAAATATAAATGAATGTGCATAGTTGAGTTCCAATAAATCTTTATTTACAAACTAGGGGTCAAATACCATTCAAGACCATAAACAGCACAACTGAATACTAATAAATATGGTTATAATTAATTATTATTAATTAGAAGAAAACAAATCTTTCAATTTAAGCACAATTTTGGGCACATAACAAATCTGGTGCCCCCCCGCAATGACTGGGCTATGAATAAGATAAATAAATTCAAAGGTATCAAAAGTTATCCTAGAGGCTGGGAAATTTAGGTTAGATTGAGGTTTACTTATATATTGACTTGTGGAAGACTATTACTTCAAAATCACTGAATATTGAAGTTGTGAGAAACAAGAAAAGCCAAACCACTCATTTTAGAGAATATCAGTTATAAACAAAGCCACCACTAAGCTCTGGGATCCCAAATAACTGGTACTAGTACCTTTTAAAATAAAAGCAATGAATGATTTATGTCAAAACTGTCTGACTAGGAGTAAACAAAAGGCCATTGCAACTTCTGAAAAATTAACTATTAATAAATCCAAAAGTTGTTAAAATATCTATCAGAAAAAAAATCACAAGAGGGGATTAAATCATCCACTGACTGTTCTTCAAAACTGCCACTGATCAAAGGCCAGTTCATACAGCAAGTCCCAAACAAGTCATCTGTGACACAGTTGAATGACAGGATGAAAGGAAGAACACAAGGTCATAATTAATGGAGTTCTCACCTAATAGTTATTTTAACAACTTTTACCAAGAAGAGTTCATCTTCAGGGTTGGGATATAAAAGTGCTGGGAATATATCTGACAGAAAAAGTGATGGGATACCAATCTGTGCTCCCTTAAAAAACTGATATCCTTTCCAACCCAAAGGAGTGATTCTAATGATAAAGGTTTAGGCCACATATTTAAGAAGGAGGTAATGGGTGGATAATTTGGGGACCACCTCCAAAACCCCCACTGGTAAATATACCCTTTGTAAAAGATAAAGCCAAGACTTGGGGGTTAGGCCATGTTAAGTTCCAACTGCAGCTCTTTCCCATGTTCATTACAACAACCTGGTTAAGTTCATTTAAAATCTTTGAGCCTCGGGGTGCCTGGGTGGCTCAGTCAGTTAAGCATCTGCCTTCGGCTCAGGTCATGATCTCAGGGTCCTGGGATCCAGCCCCACATCAGGCTCCCTGCTCAGTGGGGAGTCTACTTCTCTCTCTCTCAAATAAAAATCTTTTTTAAAAATTAATTAATGAAATCTCTGAGCCTCAGCTGATCTTTTGAGATAATAGAACCTGCTTACAAAGTTTGTGAGGATAAAATTAAATGAGATTAATTTATAGGAAGTTTAGTACACTACCCGAACCATATTAAGCACTAAAATTACTAGTTCCTATCCCCCAAATCCCTTTTTCCTAATAATCCCAAATAAAAAATAAAACATTAAGAATCATTCTTCTTGGGGCACCTACGTGGCTCAGTGGTTAAGTGTCTGCCTTCTGCTCAGGTCATGATCCCAGGGTCCTGGGATCGAGTCCCACATCGGGCTCCCTGCTCCGCGGGAAGCCTGCTTCTCCCTCTCCCACTCCCTCTGCTTGTGTTCCCTCTCTCGCTGTGTCTCTATCAAATAAATAAATAAAATCTTAAAAAAAAAAAAAGAATCATTCTTCTTAGTTATCATTTAAAATTCCTGCGTGGCTCAGTTAAATGTCTGCCTTCAGCTTGGGTCATGATCTCAGGGTCCTGGGATGGAGCCAGCACAGGGCTCCCTACTCAGCGGGGAGTCTGCTTCTCCCTCTGCCTCTGCCACTCCTGCTTGTGCTCTCTCTCTCTCTCTCAAATAAATAAATAAAATCTTTAAAAAAATAAATAAAAATGAAATAAAATAAAATAAAATTCGAAATTATACTTTCCACAGAACCCAAAACCAGCTACTAATTATTTCCCAATTCATTTAAAAGTCTTGATCTTTCTTTCAATATCACTAATATTTACCTAACTGAATGTTCTGTATCCCCTATAACTGTCAACTTCTATTTTCCCCAAACTGACCTGCCATCAACTCCCTTCATTATGTTTGCTTCACTTCTGAGCTATCACTAAAGCCAATGTCCCTGCTAGGAATGCCCTTTTCACTTTTTCCATCTAAATTAGATAATCTTTTTTATTTAACTCACTTAACTTCTACACTCTCTTAAAGCCTTTCTAAGGAAACCCAGATACATTAGAGCAATCTGCCGCCTTTAAATCACTCGAATGTTTTATTTTTCCATTTCAGATCACAACATCAATACCCTTATAATAAAGCAATGAAAGTTTACTAGGTAGGTACCTAGTACAAGGAAAGATCATGAAATCTTTCTGTGAGGAACACAAGGAAACACAAAGACTAGTATCAGACCAAAGACTTTGCAACTGCAGCTGTTTATTAAATGCTGGTTTGTGGGCTGCTAAAGTTCCCAAGGACACAGCTGTCAAGTACATTTCTTCTGGATGAGAAATAAGAGTACCATAAATCCTGGTACTTTTTAGAGGAAAGTAAGGAACAGAAGGAAATGACTGCTCAGAACCACATAAGAAGCTTTTCCAGACTAGATTTACCCAGTCCTGCTCCCTACCTACAGTAACAGAACAGAGTAGACAGGGGATGATGCAGATATCACAGCATGCAGAAGCTCCCAGGTAAGTCCAACAATATCTCACACTTTTGGACTCACTGGCCTACTTACTAAATTATTTAAACATGACATACTATTTTTGATCATTTACAAATCTTTTGAATAGGTCTGAAATTTATTTTACTATTCAAAGTCAAACCTCTAAGAATTGAATTTTAAAAAAATCCAGTAGTGTGCATTTCAGAACTCAGTCACTGCTGAGAATTTTGGGCACAGTGAAATAAATGAAATGCATCTGCCATTATCACTTTATCTGTTGCTATAAAATAAAGCCATTTCCTAATAGTCAAAAACAAAATTACCTGTAGCATTAAGACTACTGTTTTCACCACATTCCACTGTGATTTTCTGCCATCCACAATCACGGTAAATCCTCTAGCCTTACACTTTTCACTGAAACAAACAAACAAAATATAAAGTATTAAAACAGGCTTCATACTTTATTCTTTATAATCCTAAATAAAGTCTAAAGCTTAATCATATATGAAGCAGCATTAATCTCACTTGGTTTGGTTTACACTGTCATTAATAAAATTCTTCAGGGTATCCTTTCAGTTTCTTCAAGAAATTTGATTTTTCTCATTTTAGGAAGCACTGACAATTTACAAACTAATTTGGCAAGAAAATTACTCTAAAGGTACAGGAAGTCAATGTCTTAAAAAGAGAAGAAATCAGAGCAACACTCAGTCTCAAGAGCCTTTCAATTTCTTCATTTATAAAATGGGATTCCAGTGAAGTATGTAACTAATGACTGCCAAATGCATACAGACTTCTTGCCTCTCCTTCCTGCCAGAAGTAGAAGTGATAGCTTAAAACAGGTAGAAAATAGGGGCGCCTGGGTAGCTCAGTTGGTTAGACATCTGCCTTCGGCTCAGGTCATGATCCCGGGGTCCTGGGATCGAGCTCCCCACTGGGCTCTCTGTTCAGTGGTGAGTCTGCTTCTCCCTCTCCTTCTGTGATCTCTCTCACTTTCACTCTCTCTCAAATAAATAAAATCTTAAAAAAAAAAAAAAAAGACAGGTAGAAAATAAAGTAAGCTATCACTAAACCTTTGGAAATGGATTTCTTGGGATTTTTTGGGAAAATTTAATGAAATGAGATAGTACTTGGTTTACCTAGTCATTGAAAACTTGAATACACCATGTCTAAACATACACCCCCCTCACCTTTGCATTCTCGGTTCCTTGACCAGCAAATATTATCTTGAGTGTTAGAATATGTTATTACTACATATTACATTCAATTATTCAAGTATTAACTAAACATTTCCCAGAAGCCTACCCTAGTAAAATACAACAACTACACTAAAAACTCCATGCTAAAGACCAAACTCCATAGCTGCTTTATGATTATTATTCTTTTTACTTATAAAATGAATTCAATGCACAGATCTCAACTGCTCTCTCTCCAATACAGAAGAAACAGCAGTTTTACTTAGCAGAGCAAGGATTTGGTAGTGAAACCTCTCCACACTCAAAGTTCTATCAATCACATACCTTTTAGGAAAGGTAATCAGCAAACCCTTTCCTAAGATTTAAATCCAACAATCCTGGGGATTTTACTAATCCTGCCTTACTTCTTCCAAGTTTTCACATCAGCCTCAAGGGGGGGATTCTTGGAGAAGTGATGTCCAAATCTACCAAGCAACAGTAAAGTTACAAGTAAGAGGATGGTACTGCCAAAGATTTATAAGAACAGGGGCCTCTGTAGGCAGGGACAGAAGCTGAGCTTCCAAAGAAAAAGGGAACTGTTCAAAAGATGAGACAAACTGAAATATATGTTCATACAAAAAACATGCACACAAATGTTCACAGCAGCATAATTCCTAACAGCCAAAAGTAGAAACAACTCAAATGTCCATCAATGATGAAGAGAAAAACAAAATATGGTAATCTATATATAATGGAATATTATTCACTATAAAAATGAATGAAGTACTGGGGCGCTGGGAGTCTCAGTCAGTTAAGTGTCTGCCTTCAGCTCAGGTCATCTCAGGGTCCTGGGACTGAACCCCATGGCAGGCTCCCTGCTCAGCAGGGAGTCTGCTTCTCCCCCTCCCCCGTGCTCCTGCTGTGGATCTTTCTCTCTCACATAAATAAATAAAATCTTTTTTTTTTCAATCCTTTTATTTTTTTTAAAGATTTTGTTTATTTATTTATTTGACAGAGAGAGACAGCAAGAGAGGGAACACAAGCAGGGGGAGTGGGAGAGGGAGAAGCAGGCTCCCCACTGAGCTGGGAGCCCGATGCAGGGCTCAATCCCAGGATCCTGGGATCATGACCTGAGCAGAAGGCAGACGCTTAACGACTGAGCCACCCAGGCACCCCATAAATAAAATCTTAAAAAAAAAAAAAAGCACTTATACATGCTACAACATGGATAAACCTTGAAAACATTACGCTAAGTGAAAGAAATCAGAGGCAAAAGCCCACATATTGTACGATTATATTTATATGAAATGTCCAGAATAAACAAATACACAGAGACAGATCATACAGATCAGTAGGTGCCAAGGGCTAGGAGGAGAAGAGAATGGGGAGTGACTGCTAATGAATGCAGCATTTCGTTTTGGCCTAATGGATGAGAGTGTGTAATAGTCACACAACCTTGTCAATATACTGAAAACCACTAAATTGTACAATTTAAAAAGTTGATGTTTAAAGTATGTGAATTATAACTCAATAAAAAAATGCTGAAGTACTCATTTTTGGATTTTGCATTTTAAAATAAAGGACTAAGTATTCTTTGGTGGGGGGAATGTGAGGCAATACAATGATCACTTTGGTTTAGCAAGAGCATATAAAGACTTGCTTGGGGAAGCAAATCTGACATCTAATTGCAAGCTGTAGGATCAGGTAAGGAGGAAATTCTTGGAGTTCCTCACCAACAAGACATCTAGGAAGACCACTATAACTTAGGTAGGATACAAGTAACTTAGGTAAGGACACCTCATCAAAAGAGACCAACCTAGGTAAGGTAGCTGGCTATTGAGTGGTCTTCAGAGAAGTAAAAGCAACTCAGGATCTCTACCAATGCCTTATGGAAATTTGCAGAAGGGGAAGGTAAGACACACAGAGTTGTCCAGTAGAAGGCTTCCCTTTCTGGTACTACAGCCAAGAGAAGTGTGCCATCCCCATAATTTGGTACTTTCTTCTCAACTGGCATCTGCTTCTCAGAGATACAGGTTACACGACCATTTTGTTAAAGAAGTTTTACGCAAATAACACATTTTATTTCAAAGCACACTCTAATCCGTATATTAAGAGAAAGAAAATAATGAAGCTTGCAAATACCATCTGAAGTGATCTTAAGGGCATAAAGTACTCTAAATTTATCTTTTAGGGGACTTAAAAACAGCCTTAATCATAATTTTCTCACATTTTACTAAGATAATGAAAATACATACAACTGAGAGATACTATTTGAAAACTGCAAGACCAAATGATCTTTCAACTACATGAAATGACTGTTTTACTTTTTTTTTACTTCATTCCTGTAAGTGGAATGATAGTTTCAAGTATTTTTTTTAAAGATTTTATTTGTTTATTTGACAGAGAGAGAGAACACAAGCAGGGGGAGCAGGCAGAGGGAGGACCCTGGGATCCCAGGACCCTGGGATCACGACCTGAGCCAAAGGAAGACGCTTAACCAAGACTGAGCCACCCAGGCGCCCCTCAAATATTTTTTAACATATTTAATTTAGAAGCATGTTCTGTCCTTTATAAAAGAGTATGTTAGAGGAGCTGCAGTACTAGTATTAATAAACTCCTATTGCTCTTAACATGTTTATAATTACATCTAAAGAACAATAACAAAAAATCTATTAACACCTATTCTCCTTGTTCCTCCCCCATTAGAGCCTTTTGAGGGTGAGGTGGCTGAGTTTAAAACTACTATTAAAAGAGGAGAGGCTCCTTAACAAGCCCACTCACTTTGATTAGAAACAGACTGTCAATGGATTTCTCGGGTTCAGTACATTGTAGCTCTTCACTAATTTCTTTGATTATAACTAAGGGTTCCTTCTTTTCCACTCATACAGCTCTGCTTACACTTATATTATGGCAACTAATTTCACTTATGTTTTTATTGTAATTACTTGTTTACAATTTATCTTCATTAGATAACATGCTTCCAGAAAGCGAGGATGTTATCTTACTGATATCCTGGCAGCTTTTAGCACGGTGCGTTAAACAGAGACAGCCTTTAGAAATGTTAGAGGGAGGGGGGCCTGGGTGGCTCAGTCGTTAAGCGTCTGCCTTCGGCATGATCCCAGGGTCCTGGGATTGAGCCCCGCATCGGGCTCCCTGCTCCATGGGAAGCCTGCTTCTCCCTCTCCCACTCCCCTTGCTTGGGTTCCCTCTCTCGCTGTGTCTCTCTGTGAAATAAATAAATAAAATCTTAAAAAAAAAAAAAATGTTAGATGGTGCACATCACTCCCTAGTCAGAAAGCAACAATGGCTTTCCTTCTCCTTCAGAACTGAAGCCTTTACCATGGCCTACCAGGTCCTCTAAGATCTGATTCTGGCCTCTCTCATCTGACCACAGTTCTAGAACTCTGGACCTCTCTCAAACTGCTCCCACCATACTACCTCCTAGCTGATCTCACAATGTGCTGAGCCTGCTCCTGCCTCAGGGTCTTTGCACTAACTGCTCTCTCTGTCATAAATGCTCTTTCTTAAATGCTCTTCCATTAGATATTGGTACGGCTTGCCCCTCACTTCCATTATCTCTGGTAAAACATCATCCTATCATTTTGTAAAATATTGCCACACGTGCCATCTCTCTTAACTCTTTTCATGCTTTGTCTTTATAGCATTCATGAACATCCAATATACTGTGAATTTATTTGTAATATTCGTTGGATCATTACACATAAGGTGCATAATAAGGGCGGGGACTGGGTCTCCTTTGTTCACCCATTTCCTCAGCACCTGGAACAATGAGGAGCTCATTATAGGGTCTCACATATTTACTGAGTGACTAAAGACTTATGATCTTAATGTCTATTGATTTTTGGCAAATTATTAAACCTCTGCATTCTAATGTTTATTCTGTAACATAAATGAGTTTTTCTACAATCAGGAAGGACTGACTTAAGATCCAAGTTTGAATTTTAAAAAAATCAAAACTTGAAAAAAATTGAAAGGTAACTTTTGTAGATTTTGAATCATTACAGAATCAATAGTAATCTAATCAAGATTAATCTGGGCAAGTACTTGGCATATTTCTAGAAAAAATTTAAGAATGGAGAAGGTGGTTAGCCTAGATGATTGTTAATGTACTTTCCAATCCTGATGATGTTCCATGATTCTACAATTGGATGATCAACAAGTTCCCTTTAAGATAGAAAATACAGATTTTAAATACAGGTATTTTATTTTTATTGTACTTTG